TCCCCGGATAACTTATAAAGTTATGAATAGATTTTTATGGAAGGCCAACTTATCATTATTATTATTTTTATTATTATTATTATTATCATTATTACGATTATTGTTATTATTATTAATACTATTGTTATTATTAAGATCATGATGATGATGATGATTGTTATCATCATCATTATCACTATTATTACCATTCTGGTTAATAGTATTATTATCATCATCATTATTAATGTGTTATTATTATTATTATTGCTCTTCTACCTATTGCTGTTAACAGCATAACGCTAAAAATAAGTATCGGAGAGAGTATTTAGAACAGCACGCGAGGCTGTAATCAATGCGTTTTTTATATAAACGTTTGATATATTTCGTTCAGAAAAAGAAGGAATAATCATAAGCAATATATATATATATATATATATATATATATATATATATATATATATATATATATATATATATATATTATATATATATATATTTACTGCATAGACAAATTATTTGTTTATATCTCTATTACTGATAATGCTTTTCCATCACTATACAGGACACATTTTTCTGCAGATTTCCTTTGCTGTCTAATAAATATAGGATTCTATGTGATCCTTTCTCTAATACTGTTTATAACATGAAACACATCGGCAATGGTGAATGATAGCTTTGACTTTGACTGTAAAATATCAGTGTCAAACAAGATAAAAAAAAAAAAAATCTAAATGGATGCATCTATGATTCATATCCAATATACCCCATCCGTAGTCAAGAACGTTTTAAACAAACAAATAAATACTCTGCCTAGAAAAGAGGAGAGTATAAAAAATAGGACTGAAAAGGGGTTTCCTTTGGTTCAAATACATATCATCCCTCTATGATGGAGAGCAGTGGAGGGGAGAGACGAATATACACAGATGGGAAACCAATACGCTGTCAAGGTAGAAATATGTGCGTCCTCTTCTTCCTCTCCCCATCTCCCCCCTTCTCGTTCGATCATTTTTTTTTTCTTCTTTTTTCTCGCGTTCTTTTCTTCGCTTTCTTTCTCTCCATCTCTGATTGTCTAGGTCTATGCCTTTCTCTGTCGTTTTCTCATCTCTTCTTTCTTTTTTTCTTTGTCTTCCCTCTTCTCTCTCTCTGTCTCTCTCTCTCTCTCTCTCTCTCTCTCTCTCTCTCTCTCTCTCTCTCTCTCTCTCTCTCTCTCTCTCTCTCTCTCTCTCTCTCTACCTTTTATCTCTCTTTCCCTCTCAACCCACAATTCTTCCCCTCACTCCCTCCTTCTTTTTCCTCGTTCTTCCCTTTCTTATTCATATTTTTTCACACAGGAAAGCCTCGCCTGCGTTTTGCCTGATGATGTACACATAAAATCTAAGCACGCCCGCTCCCGCTTTGATATATGCAGCATTCATTGTGTTAGTGTTTGCATTACAATACACCTGACCGAAGCATCATCAGAAACGTATAGCGAGCGGCCGAGGGGATTTTTTGGGTGTGCATTATGCATGTGTGAGCGTGGGCATGTGTGTGTGTGTGTGTGGGGTTGTGTTAGTTCTTTGTTGTTAATGTGTGTTAGATGTATGTTAATGGTGGTTTACGTGAGTTTCCCAGAATGTGTGTGTTGATATGTGTTCGTATAAAGGTGTATGAAACATGCTTGTGCACATATGGGTGCGTATTACTATTTCGGCTACAAAATGTGCACAATTCTACGGTATTTTATAACCTTGTTTAAATACGCAACGACACTCGTACGATATCATAACAAACACACACACAGACACACCAGTGCATCGCGAACAACACACCACACACAGCCGCCACCCGCTCCACCCAATCCGTCTCACGCCACACCACCAACACCACTGCCTCCTGCTCCACACACCTACCGCTCCGCAACGCCACACCACACGTCTCTACGCACCACCCACACAGCGCTCCACGCCCACACCACTGCTCCACGCACACACACGCTCAGTGTCCACACACGCTATATACACGCTCAGATACATACGCCCCTCACACACCACGCACCACACCAAAAACCCCATACACCAGCCCCATATACCTAAACACAAAGATCTGCATATATATCTAACACCTCTTATATATAATATACAATGTTATATACCTCTCATATGCCTATCACCCTGACCCTAATCTAATCTTAACTCCTTATTACTGATCCTACAGCCCCAGCGCCATCTATATAATCAATCACTAACTACTAGCTATACATAACACACCCTACCCTATAACTAGGTACCCTTAATACTATTTTTTTATTTTTTCCTCTTTTTTCTTACCAAAAAAAACCATACAATAAAACCCAACAAATTATTTTAGTATACCTATACTAATATATATTATATATACTATAACTATTATATATTATTATATATATATAAAATAGTATAAACTAATAAAATACTACTACTATATATAATAAACTAGATACTAATATATGTGTGTGTGTTGTATCTGTTGTGTGTTGGTGTAGCGGGTGAATAGCATAAGTTGTGTGTGCTGTGTGTGTGTGTGTCTGTGTGGTGTGTGTGATATATATGTATATATATACTATATATATATAACTAGTAATAATATATACACTATATATATCATATATGCTACCTACATATATTATGTTATACTATAATATATATAATAAAATATATATGACATAACTTATACGTTATACATATATATATATACTATACCATAACATTACCTATACAGCACTCATATATTTCTATCTATCTCACTATTCCAGCTGACTAATCTATTCATTATCCATTATTAATATATGTTACACAATTATACACATACCTATCATTTATATCCTATCAACATAATGGGTGTGTGTGATGTGTGTGTGTGTGTGTGTGTGTGTGGTGCTGCGTGTGTGTGTGTGTGTGCTGGGTTGTGTGTCATTCAATGTGTGGTGATAATGTGTTGTGTGTGTGTGTGTTGTGTGTGTATGTGCGTGTGTGTGTGTGAATATATAAGTATACTTTATATACATAATCCATTACCATAAAGGATATATGATATATCATGATGAACAATAGCCGACACAAGCACACACACACACCACACGCGACACAACCACACACACCACAACATGACGACCTATACCAATAATTATCCTATATTATACTTATATATCATATATACTATAGTATACTATAAACTATAGCTATTATATAATATATACATTATCTATACGATGATATTACTATGTTTCATGTAAAATATAAAATACTATTATATACTAACTTCCTATATACCCTATATAATATATAAGGCATATTAACTAATCCTCGATATACTTATTAAATACTCATCGAAATACCCTTTATATATGTGTGTGTGTGCTGTTGGTGTGTGTGTGGTGCTGTGTGTGCTGTGTGTGTGTATATACACGTCACACTCCTAAACCCTTTAACTGGGACACGGCCAATTCATGCCTCCGTGCATTCTCACGAACTATTATTAAAGTGCAAAGTTTTATGTTCCGAATATAGATAATTTCTTTATTTCTTCTTATTAAACTATATGACTCAACAATCGATTTTACAATATGTAATGTTGTGTGCACAATACATAACACCAAGTCACATCTTACGCAATGAAAAAACACAACACGCACACACACACACCACACACACACACACACACACGACACACACACCAACACCACACACCACCACCACATCTCACACCACAACATTATATATATAATTAATAATATCATATATCAATACAGGTAAATACATATATACTATAATACAACCTAATATATTATATATTACTTATATACTATATATATATACTATATATATATATATAAGATATATAGTGATATATATGATAATACATATATAATATATATATATTACTATATATATATATATATAATAGCTCATATATATATACATACCATATCAACACATTAACACTACATATATATAATATCTGTAATTTTTTATTATTTATATATTGATATAATATATATATTTGTATAATACTTATATAGTAGATATAATATAACTATACATACTCACTTATATAATATATATACCTAATATATATATATACACACACAACCTAATATATATATATGATATATATATAATATATATACTCATATAATCATATATAATATATCACGCTACCTAATAATCACACACAAATACTCACCACTCCACCAGCACCACCCAGCACACCGTGAGTCATCTACACACCCCACCACCCACAGCAACCTCCATCAAATAGTCACCAACAACACCCTCTCACAAGACCACTACCGCCACCCACCCATACAACTACCCCTAGAACATAGCCGTGCCGACCTGCCGCCACTCGAGATACACAACCCCAACTCTACAATAATACCAAAACAAGACCTCCTCACGACAAATAAAACCATAACCAACATAAAAACGCAATCACCAGCCCCATCATGCTCCACTACCCCGCAGTCCAGTACTATGCAAGTACCACACACTCTCACACACGCACTCGCATCTAAAGCACACAGCCATTACGACACCAATGACCTGCCTACCGCGATCCCTAATGGACACCTACACACATATCACAACACACGCCCTCTGCGACACGGAGAATATCAACCTTGCGCGCGAATGGCAGGGCCCGAGTGCAGCACCGCCACCGCGCATGAGACACAGACATCTTACCGAGACACAACACCCAGACCGCAGAAGCACGCAAGGACGGACTGCGGGGGCTCCCACGAAGAGACGACGCCACCAGCACACGGTAACCAAGCTTGTACAACCCCCCGCATCCCACGCAACGTACGTGGGCACCCAAGCAACAGGGGGCCGGGCCACGACTGGGATCCCCCCGAGGCACACACACAGTCACAACCACACTTACTAAAACACAGCCCACTGGTGCCGCCCCCACCCACGCTCACGAGTAAAATCAGCACGCACATACCACAGATCCCACGGACGACCGGACCCCTGGGCACACAACCAGACTACACTTAACCGCCCCTCACACCAAGCCACACCGCCGCACAACCTAAAGAACGCAACATCAATGACATGCGCTATAACCACTGTAAACCGCCTGAAACAACCAAAGTAACCATATCACAGCCACCGCAGCCCACAACAAACAACTGAACACGAGCCCCGCGGCCTCGAAATCTACAAAACCTACCGACGCACTCATCGACAGCCAAGTCGCTCATCCAACACCTGCAACCGCGCACGAGAAGTAACAACACGCCCAAAACCTACACACAGAAATAATAAAGATACACACCCACCCACTCCCCACCAGCAAGCGCCATCTATTATACTGTATATATACTATACTATATAGTACTAGATATAGTATAATATATGATATATATATACTAATATCGTATATATACTGATGAACCTACTATCATATATTAGCGCATACTTATAACTATAGCTGATAATAACTACTACTATATAACATACAAATTATATATATATATATATTATAATATGTATATATATATAATTATATAAAATATTCTAATATTATATATATACTTATCATTAACTAAGATATAGTAACCTAATACTATTATATATATATCACACACACCACAAATTACTGATACCAACCTACTATGATTATATACTATACCTACATAACGTAATAAATAAGATATATAATATAGCTCATACATATCATATATATCATCTATATTATATATGTATATTGACCTATATTATACTATATTGTACTATATACTATACGACCTGAAGCCTACTTATATGATACATTAACTATACTCTATACTATATATATATATATATATATATATATAATTTATACTACTACTACATATACTATATATAATACACATATATACTATCTACTACCCTATATATATATATACTATTATATATATATACCTATATATTATATATATTTATATTATTAGATAGTCTATATCTATATTATACCCATATTATATATATCGAGTAATATTATATATAACAATATATAGTGATGACTATAGTATAAATAGTTATATATACAAATCATATATATGATATACTAACTAATATATATCAGATATATGAATATATACATACTAAAAATATACACATATTATATATCGTGTGTGTGTGTGACATAGTGTGTGTGTTGTGTGTGTGTTACAGCTGATTGTGGTGTAGTGTGTGTGTGTGATGTGTAGTGTGCCTATATTATACCCTATATATATACTATACTATATATATTAAACTACTAATCTATATATACATATATCATACTTATATATAACTATATCATATGAGTGTTATGTCAGCTTAGTGTAATATGTATAGATAATATATATATATATCTATAATATTATATTATCTATATTATCATTAGTTTATCCCCTATATAATATACTAATTATATATACTATCAATACTATGTACTATAATAATACTATATATAATATTATATATTCATCTATACTATCCTATATTATCTAACTATTACTCTATATTCAACTACTAATAATACTAGATATTATATATCATAAGGTATATATATAATAACATATATATATATATAAAAATCATAAAAATAAATATATATATCATATATATATATATACTATATATAACACTAATATATATACGTGTATAATATATATATAGTAACACTATATATAACACTATATATACAATATATATAATATATATATATAATTATATCTTATATATATATACTATAGGTACTATATCTATATATTATGTATACATTATATATACTATAATATATATACTATACAATATATACTATATTACTATATACTATATATATATATTATGACTATGTTCATATACTAAATGCTGTATACTATATATATATCAATATCATATATAATATATATATGGATATATATATTCATATTTAAATATTAATATGTAGTTATATATATATATATTACTACTAATATATACATATGTAATATGTAAATATACATACTTATATATACTATAATATAACTACTATTATAATAATATATATACATATATATATATACATGTATTAATTATGTGTGTAATATTAATTAATACTATATATACTACATATTATATAATAATATTATATATATTACTGCTATCATGTATACGTGTTACTTATATCCTTTAATATACTATACTAGTAACTAATATATACTATATATATATATATGTATATATATACGATGTACTACTATAATTTACTATTATATAATATATATAGTATATATATATATATATATATATATATATATATTATATATATATATATATCTTATATATAAATATATATGTATATATATATAATAATATATAATATTGGATAATATATATAATATATATATATTATATATATATAATATATATAATATTATATATATATATATATATATATATGTATATATATATATATATATATAAATATATATTATATATATATATATATATATATACAATATACATATATATACCATAATGTATAATGTACACTATGTATATATATATAATATATAATGTATATATATATATTATATATATATATATATATATATATATATATATATATATATATATATATATATGTATAATACATATACATATGTGTGTATATATATATTATATATATATATATATATATATATATATATATATATGTATATATGTCTGTATGTATGTATGTATTTATATATAAACATATATGTGTATGTATGTTTGTCAACATATGAAATTATAATAATCAAAACAGAAGGGACCTTGACTTGATTAAAATGAATCACTCGTTCGCTGTTTTCCCAGTAAAGACCCTGGAAAATCCAAGACTTGTAGACATGCAGCGTCAGCATCTTGAGGAGCACAGGCAGGCACAGTGCCATGTAGGTTCCTTTGCCAAAGAGTGCAGCTGTTTGCGACGGTGAATTCCTATTAGTATTACCGTTAGTGATTCTCATTACCAGATTTTGTTCTCGGAATGTTGTTTATTCTGTGGTTGAATAATTGGCTGGATAGTAAGGAAATCTACGAAATATGAAAATATTCTTCAACGATACCAGTGTGACACAAGCATCATTATTTTCAGCGACCATCATCGGTCTCACATATACCCCCCACCCCCCTCCCACCCCCACACCTCCCCCTCCATTCCCCCGCACGCACGCACGCACGAAAAGAACTACAATAAAAAAGATCGTAATTGGCCCAAATAACTGGACGCATTAAAGGACGACAGACACAAGGTGACATGAAATTTGTGTCCAGTAATTTAATTCAAAGCTCTCGACGTCAGCCATGAGCGGGATCAGCCTTTTAAGCCGCGGCCGTTTACGTCACTTCCGTCACGAACTACGAACTGCAGTCAGATGGGCAGGGCTTTGTTGGCTGCGTCGACGTGGCAGACTTACAGACATTGCAGCTTGTCTTTGCAATAATGGGAATTTGTGAGACTTTGCTCGTTCATAATGGTTCCTGGCTTCGAATTTGCAGTCAGCTTGCAGCTTCGGCTTTGCCACGGAAGTATTAATGCTGTTGGTCTTCAGAAGGGTTTGTTAAATAGATTTGTGTTGGGAAGGAATGATAAAGATGTAGAAAAAAGTAGAAGGCAAACTGTGTAACACATACACACACACACACACACACACACACACACAGTCACGCAAACAGACAGACAAGGACACATGCGCACAGTTTGCATAATCCATTTGCCTGGGTTCCTGGAGCGCATAGTTCTATGTGGTTGTTGATTTCTTGTTGTCGCTCCAAAGGCTGTTGACCAACATGCAGAAGATCCTGTTAGTTGTCCAGATTGTGTAAATCAGTCACGATGCTGAACATTTTTACGTTAAGAACTGTATACAAACTGCTTTCGTTATAGCGAAAAATTAGCCGATGTTGAGGCATCTTAATTTAAACTTTCCGGGAGAAAAGTAGTTTTTTTTCCAAATTTCTCGGAGGCTGCGCGGAGGCCGCTCGCACGCCCCGACGCCATCCATCGCGCCAAATGGAGAACATGCAGGAAAGGGGGGAATGAGGGAAGGAATTATGCGCACTCGCACACGGGTAAGTACTTGCTATGACACGCACAGATGTCCGTACCTTCACACATACTTCATGCAGACACTGACATAGAATACGTTGACAGAATCAGTTACTCATAGTTATGATTTGAAAAAGATAAAAGAAATATTCTGTAAGGGAAGTGTGCAAACAGGATTGGCATAACTAGAAAATTGAATTTTTCGAATGACCAGACGCCCCTCTCCAACCCGTAACTACTCTTTGGTTGAAACTCCCAGCCTCTTTTCCTCTTCCTTGACCTTTGTCTGACCTTCTCGTTTCTTTTTGTACTTTCCCTCTTTCTTACTCTCTCTTTCCCTCTCATCCGTTCCTCATACCTCGCTTTCCTCTCCTACTCTCTTTCTCCCTCGCTTTTTCTCTTTCTCTCCAACACATACACATGCTCCCTCACACGCAAAGACATTGCCACTGACCTCCCTCAACCCCCCCCTTAATAAAAGAAAACAGAAAAAAAAACTGTTCACTAAAGGAAGATTTATATCGTAAACAAAAGCAAACACGGGTAGGGATGGTCAGCCGTTTGTATTTGTAACTGTGTTTGTTTGATGTTTAACCTCGCTCAAAGAATCAGTGAATCGAAAGGACTAGTGAATCTGTCGGCGATTCTTGTCCCTCTTTCTTCGCCCTGTTTCCTCTTCCTCCTTCTTTCTCCTCCCCTTCCAGTTCTTGTCTTTCCGTGCCCTGAACACCTTCGACATTTCTGGACTCTTTTTGGGGGACTTTCATTTTTTTTCCCATTTATTTTTCACTGGCGCCCTTATATAATAAACACACACACACACACATGTAGTATGTATATACATGTATATATATATATATATATATATATTATATATATATATATATATATATATATATATATATATATATATATATAATATATATATATATATATATATATTATATAATAT